AAGGAGGGGGGGGGGGGGCGGGACCGGCAAAGGGAAGGGAAGGAGGGGGGGGGGGGGGGGGAACCAGAGCCTAAACCGAGCATCGAGTGGACGGCCGGGAAGAGAAGAGGGCTTTTCCTGCTGGGCGAAGTGAGTCTGGGCATATGGGAGCCTCGGTTCTTTTAGAAACTGCGTTTAAATACTACAGGCGGAGCGGAGGGGATGGTGCTGAGGAAACTCTGTTGCTCTTGTGACAAAAGAGGATACTTCAGAGCGAGCACTGGTGGACTGTTATAAGGCATGACATTCGCGTGCAGAATGACATAAATGAGATTAAATATTGTCCTGCACAGTAGGAAAAGATCAGTGTATAGAGAACTGCAGGTAGATTGGGCTATCTACAGGTTGTATGATTTGGTACGTTTTTCTCCTGTTACCATTACCAAATGGGACATTTTCTGCCAGAAAAGTGACTTTATACAATTGTTTTTATGTCCTTTGGACAACTTTCTGTGTAAAAGTATCCCATGGGTGAAGCACAGTTATCCCAGCACCAGTCTTATCCATACTGTATTTGATCTGGCCCTTCCAAATTTAGGTATAGCACCTATAAAAAAATATTGGTGATGGAGATATGTGGACATGGAAGTGGGAGTAATGGAGATGTTGCCAAGATCAGTGGCTCATAATATGTTGACCAGCTAAAATTATATTAAGGCATGTTAACAAACTTACTATTAAAGGAGAGCAGGTATTTTTTGAAATATTTACATTAGTGGGTAACTGTCAAGCTACTTCAGTACTAGAAGTGAAAGAAATATATTAATTGCATTCAGCTTTAATTCTTTAAAGAAAGATACTGAACAATGATGATAATAATAAACACTTGTGGCCAATAATTTACAAGGCGTAGTTCAATATGTTCATTGCTGTGCTTTGTTCTTTCCATACTAGAATCCTTTACTGACTATTTGACATCCGCAAAAGTCCTCCTATACTTTGGACATGCCCTGTCCACTTGGGTAAGTGAAATAAAACCATAGGAATTCTGCATCTGATTTGAGGATAATGGGAGTTAATCTGTATTATAATCACTTGTGTACATGTATATTGATATTATCATATTATTTAGCAAAAACACATATGCTAAATTATGCTCTGGCACAGTAATCCTAAATTATAAAATAACGCCTATGGGATACTACTGATATTACAGTTAAGATCAGAGCCTGGACTTTCTAATTTATGGTGTAAAACCCATGCTTTGCTGATTTTAAAGAATGTTGTACAGTTGTTTAATGTTAGGTCCAGATGCAGCCATACTGAAGGGTGGTCCCCTTGAAATCAATGGAACCTTAACTCCATCATTATGAACTTGTTCCCTTGGTTTCAATATGTCTGCTTCAAAAGTCACTGGCTGGACTCAACCTATTGAGGACAAAATAAAATGAACTGTGCATCTCATTTGAGGCATTTTTATTCTGTTTGACAAGTTTCAATTTTTTTCAAGTAATACTTGCAACTCAGCCATCAATAATGGATTTAGCTCTCTTAATAATTTTTGATATTCTGTGGATAAGAAGTTCGAGGTTCTGCAGTGCAAATAGAAACTACTTCTGGAAATTAATTGTTCAGGAACTTGGATTTGTATCACAATTTTGAGGAAGCAGAACTGTCTTAAAATGCAGATAGGGTACGTGACATTTTCAAACAACAGTTTAAAATAGCAGTTGGTAACCTTTATGTTAGGTTAGCTATTGATTTTTTTGGAGTTACATTGATTGTTATGAATTCTTGCCTATTAATGTCTAACAATAAATCTTACAATATTCTTCATAGTATTTGTGAATTTTAGAAGAGTATCTGTTTTAGGGTAGATTGAAATATTCACTCACTGCATCTTTACTGTTCTATATTTGCCTAAATATTTGTTTATTATTTCTACTATTCCTGTTCAGATCTCTGTCAGGAATGGTGGCTCTTAATTTAAGTAAATCATGGTCATCCTCATTAAAATCTCCAAAAGACCTCTATCATGTTGTCATAATCATAAAAATGTGTTCCTAAGCTGACCTGAAAAATAGGATTTTTAATCAGTTTTTAATCAGTTTTTCACAGGCAGAATTGAAATTAATAACAACCATAACAGTAGCGTCATTTCCCCAGTGCTTAGAGAAATAATAATAACAACAACAACAACAGAAAAACAACTGAACAGAGTTCAGTTAATAAATTTGAACGGTAATAGTATTCTTACATTAGGCAACAAATGCAAAATCAGGCACTTTTTATTTCTGGATGAGGGCTGCTTTTCTATTATATGGTTGGTCGTACAGTCAGCCAAATCTGACTGTAATCTAATAATAGAAAAGCAGTCCTCATCCAGAAATAAAAAGTGCCTGATTTTGCATTTGTTGCCCAGTGTGAGAATACTATTGCTGTTCAAATATATTAACATACTTGGTTGACACAGGTGTGTTCATCTTGAGCCAGCTTATCTGAGTAAACATCCAGTTAACTGTGTTCAGTTGTTTTCGGATTTATTACTTGATTGTTTCTTGATTTAATGAATTATATGACTAGCACAGTGATGCAATAAGGAATTAAGCATTACTTATTTCACTGGGTTTGCCTTTGAGACTTTAGGATTATAGCATAACTTTAAATGGTTATGTAGTTTGTATGATGGCAGAATATACTTGCAAAATTTCCTGGCATAATTCATTAATAGTAGCTTATACCTATTTATAATATTTTCCGCCTACGTCATTTTTTCTTTCTTTAGTAGAAAGCAAACAGGCAAATAAATACTTTCATAAAGTAGCTGACCTTTTATAACCCATTAGCTTAAATTAAGAAGTATATAAACATTGCAACTTCAGTAAGTATCAGATTGCAGATTTAGTTATTGACTTGGTTATTAATTAGGAAGCAAAGAACTCTTGCTTCCTAATTAATCTGAAGTTCTACTTCAAAATAGCGTGCTTAGTCCTTGAGCAATCTGAGTTAAAAACTCTGGTTTCCACTTTATGATAAAGTCAAAAGTCATTACATTTCCAGAGCCTAATGAATCTATGCAGTGAGCAGTGCTGCTTCCTTATTAGACCAGTGGTAACTTCATTAAACTGTGGTCAGTTCATACATTATGCAAAAGCAAACCCAGAAGAGTCAGTTCCAAGGGAGTTGATGCTATTTGCCAGTGCACACTGAAATAACTTTAGGGGTGCACATAAAAACAGAATTGACCAATTTCATATATTTTATAATAATTGGGTTGATTCCGAATGAGGCATCTATAGTGCAAACACCTTGACTTATTATCAGAATGTTATGAGAGGTCCAGGTGACATGGCATTCCATTTGTAATCCTGTGTTTGCTCAACACTAGTTTTGTTCTTTCACTAAGACTCTATTTAAAAAATTGAATAGTTGAATGGAGTCTTCAGATAAATAGTGCCCTCTTGTTTTCCAGAGTTTATTGTCACCAGATTGTCATCTCTTTGTTCTATGGCTCCTTGTATTCAGGCATTTAAATATGGGCAACTTTGGTATTATCATTAGTTACTGGACTTTCTGTTGCTAACAAAAAGGAAAAAATATGTGCAAAGCATGTAAACATGCATGCACACAGGCAGACAGGTTGTTAAAATACAAACATTGCAAAATAAATGACCATTAGGTATACCAACTGACCAGTCTTGTTTGATCATTGTCGGTTCATTCAATGATTTTACTAGGTACTGAGTTAATAGGGATCAGAATCAATAGCACTTATGATGGAGAATTCCCAATGTTTGCAATCTAGGTTTGCTAGGTAGATTGCAGATCCCAATAGTAAATTGTATTTCTGTATTTCCAGTGGCAGACTCAATAGAGCAAACAGCCTTTCTATGTATTTATTTTCCATAATAGCATATTAAGTATATGGACATTTGAAGGCTCAGGATTTTCCCTAATCAGAGTTTACATCTTATCAGTCTTGCTAGGAGAATGCCAATATTTCTGCTAAGTTAACATTGTGATGTGTTAGTTTATATAAGAGATGAAATCTAGTCAGTTTCAAGCACCATTATTATAATTTCATGGCTTCCATAAAATTATTATATTATATGCATCATATTTAGGGAGATAAAAAGGGTTGCCAGGTGGTAAATTCATTCCTCTTCATCTACATGGTATTTGAACATTTTCTTCTGTGAAGGGGATCTCAGCATGTGACATAATACAGGGAGATTAATTAAAGGGGGAGTTGGAATCATATCCTTTGGGAGTTGGAGATGTCTCAGTACAAATTGGGGGGGGGGGGCGGTGTCATGCATTGCAGAGGACCTTTAGCAAGTAGTGATGCTGACTGGGATACTGAATTTAGGAAGTGGCAATAATTGCTTTGGAAATTCAGCACCCAAGAAAAAGCTTATTTTAGTGACAGCAACATTAGGTTGTCACTTAAAATTCTTGTGTGTTTCAAGTTTAAGTCTTGTATTTTTCATGGACAGAACAATGGAATGCTAACAGAAAAACTCAATGTATCAGAGCTAATTATTGTTTGGGACTTGTAAGAAAAACCAAACCCCAAAGTTGACAGGACAGTCATTCCTGCCAGCCTTGTCATTATGAAATTTTTCACTCTGCTAGTAGTGACTGGGATATATTATCCATGAGGCAGGATGCAATTCGTAAGGGAGTCTTTTCCAGGACGATAGGTTCCAGGTATTTTGGGATTCACAACTTCCAAGGGCCATACGATCAGTGTTATTAATGTTATAATTGTGGGATAGGTTGGTTTGTTTGTGTGTTTATACAGATATTTATATACTGTCCTACTTTAATGTAGGGAAAGTTTACAATACAGCACAAATAAAAACAGTGAATATAAATAACAAAAATTATAATTACCAAAAGTCTACACAGGACCACCACCTGCCCTGAAAGCTTGTCAGAAGAGGATAGTTTTATTGTCAAACGAAAGGAGAACAAGGTGAAGGCACCCTGTACCTCAAAGAGCAAGGTGTTCCCTAGCAAGGCACCACTACTGAGAAAGCACACCTCCAGGCCCCCATTCCACTGATGTGTATAATATCATTGATGATACTGGCAGATGGCCTCCCCTAGTAGGTGTTGATATTAACTGGTGTATTATGTACATCAGTGACATATGAACTGAGTCTTTAGGCTGTGATATAAACCCACCCCCAGTGGCAGAATGGACCTTATATATGAAAGCTTGTGGTTCTGGTTCCTATTTATAATTAAAGGCTGATGGTCTGAGACAGCTTCAGATTACCTGCCACCACCCACAGCCAAGCAGGAAATCAAGGCCAGACTCTGGAGTTCTCTGGCCTTGCTCCTCCTTCAGTGTTGCTGTCAGGTTATTTGTGGTTTTCAAGTGGCCAAGGAGTGAATACCTCATAAGGAAGGAATTTGCTTTTGCTCTCGTCCTCTTTTTCTAGATCTGTAAGGGAAGGGTCATGGTGACATTAGCAAGGAAGGGAGTCCACTAAAGGTGTCTTGTCCGAGCATACCTCTCAGCCCTACAATATGGATGCAGTATCGTTGGTAGTACCTAGTTTATGTACATCCTTGAATTGCTATATGCCTCACATGTGTAATGGATTTCTCAGAACTTGGGAAAGAGAATGGCAGTTTCCAAAATACTACCAAAGATGGAACATCTGTACATTCCTCCTATATCAGTGAATTAAATAGCAACCTCCTCACTGCTTCAGGAGGCAGCTGGCTAAGAGAATCAAAAAATCCTTGTCCTAATAAATGTATTAATAAGTGGGGTGCTAAAGTCCATGCATCTTGTTCTCAAGATTTGGTAACCTATCCCTTTTTTCCCCTTTCAATGAATTTGATTACTAAGACTCTGAGAATCTAGCCGTTTTGGATAAAAGTGGCTGCTGGATGCCTGAAAATATAATATATACATACTTAAGTAATATATCAGTATGTCTTACTGTTCTATTGATTTTTATTTTGAATGTTCTGTATCACCTTGTAATCTCCCCAAAGATCTCTGGTTATTTGCAGATTAAAAACATGACAAATAATTAAACATATTGTATTCATCCTAGGGAGATCGTATGTGGCATTTTGCAGTGTCAGTCTTCCTGGTTGAACTATATGGGAACAGTTTGCTCCTAACCGCTGTTTATGGATTGGTTGTGGCAGGATCAGTTCTTCTCCTAGGTGCCATTATTGGAGATTGGGTAGACAAGAATTCAAGGCTCAAAGGTTAGTAGTATCATACTTACTGACTGAAGGATATCTGCATGTAATAAGGGAAATCTAAATCACAAAAAAACCAACATGGGATTTGCTGAAACAATTGGTCTCAGTGTCAAGCTTTTAATTGTACTTAATTGAATTAAAGTATGCCCACTTGGCTGATAGCACATAGTAAAGCTTGAAAAACTTTACCAGATTTATCAATCACCATAAGGTAGAATACTCAGCTGCATAGCACCACCTAGCCAAAGATTGCCCTGTGTGATTTCAAACTTAGCTGATTTTGGAAGGCTCTGAAAAGATGGACCTGGTTGCCGCTTGTATGGAAGATCCCCAGAAAATCCAAGGGCCATGGGCTAAACTGTTAGATCAAACAAGCAAAAAGGGGCAAACCATTTTTCTATTGCTGCCAAAAAAAGTTAACAAACATGTTCATGAAGCGCTAGGTGTCAAGCTTGACTCAAAAGACACTTTATACCTTTTCTATTTAATGCAAATTTTAAGGGCTACATCCCCACCCACCACAAAAAAAAATACTGGTTGTGCTGTTAACACTGATGTAAAGGATTGTAAAGTGTCTCATTCAGAATGGCTACACAAATAACAAATGGGCTGCCCAGTCATACCTATGTTTACTTATTCTTTAAGAATTACAGGCTTCACTGGGGCTTACTCCATGATGAGGCATGACTCTGTAAGACCTACAACTACTTTAGAATGGTAATTTGAGCTGTTTATTAAAAATGCATGATAGGGACGCTACCTCATACTTTAGTAGCTTCTGTAATTATGTTACCTACTCTTCAGAATTAATATGTCTAAGTTATTAATACGTCTTAAGCCTTGTCTAAGTATTTGACTAAATACTTTACAAATAATTCTCTGGTCTATGCAAAGCTAATTTTGAATAATTAGTGCCCATTAGATGTAAATATCAGCTACTCAAGCTGGGTGTTTCCTTCTTGGTGGTAGCGTTAGCAATTTGCAAATGATGCCTTCACATCAAGGAGGGAACTTCCATTGTTTAGTGCTGTTTGAGCACTAATGCAAAGGATGAATTTCTTACTCTCTTTTACTTGATGGTAAGTCTACATTTAGCGCATTGGCCTAAAAAAGGTGTCTGCCTTGAAAACAGTGGTAAGCAATTTGCTTTATAAATGATACTTTAAATATTTCCTATTTTAAGTATTGACGTTGTGTACCCTTTCTCTCCCTTTTCTCCTAAACAGTAGCCCAGACGTCCTTGATTGTGCAGAATGCGTCAGTCATCTTGTGTGGCATCCTTCTGATGATTGTCTTCCTGTTTAAAACACAGCTTTTAAACTTGTATCAAGGATGGCTTCTTGTAAGTGGAGAGAACTCAAAAATATTTATAAGCATGTACAAAGTCTTTTGCTCTTGGCTTTTCTCTGAAAAATGCATGTTTCGTGGTCAGCTTCGAGCTTTAGGTAGGTTTTTAAGCTTTAAGCTTTGGTGGGTATTAATTGTCAGTGATTATGCAGTCAGCTCCCTTTACTCCAGTAAAGCCAGACCTGTTTGCCTTAAAAGTTTTATGTTAGTACAGTGTGAGTATCAGTAGCAAAGAACTACAGGTTGCAAATCTAGATGTAATAACTGATTCTTAACAAGAGTGAGAGATCTGGACTGCAAAAAATTCAGACAGCCACAGTTTTCTGTATCACAGTATCTAATCTTTACAGCCAGCCCTGATTACCTTAAGCAGAGGAATTATATCAAGCTAAGCTATGGCTTATTATCCCTCTGGTTTGTTGACTAAGCCATAGTGGCTCATTTTACATATTACACTAAGCCATATACCATGGTTTATAAATCACAATTAGCTGTGTTTACAAATGTAAAGTATCTCAACTAGGTTCACTATAGAATAATTGCAGGGGTTGAATCCAGAGAACTGTCCATGGAAGGAAGCCCCAGGATCTAGATTTCCTGTCTCCTCCCATCCCAGCCACCTCCAGAGAGCCCCACAAATGCTGCCTTATAGTTAGAGCATCCTGGGAATAGAAAGCATGTCTGTGAGAGTTCCGAGGAAGAAGAAAACAGAGGAGAAGTCTCTGATTTTCTTCAAATCTCTTGCATCCTCCCAAATGAAAACGGATCTCATTCAGCAAGGTCTTTACATCCTGGAGAAGTTTTGAAGAGGACTTTGGAGCTATGGATTAAAGGAAGAGTAGGGAGATCAGTTAATGCATGCTCCCTATGTGGCCAGATATCTAGTGGTGACTCCATGCAACATTAGAATTCAGCAGTTCATGAGAGAACATTTATTTAAATGGGGGGGGAAGGCCTGAACTTTCTTGCCTTTTGCCTAAACATTTCTTTCCATTCCCACAGACCTTGTGCTATATTCTAGTCATCACAATAGCGAACATTGCAAATTTGGCCAGTACAGCAACAGCAATCACCATACAGAGGGACTGGGTTGTTGTTGTTGCTGGTGACAATAGAAGCAGATTGGCAGGTGAAGTATATTTGATTTTGTTTACCTCAAGTTATTTTATTCTGTGTGATTGGGTTAAAAAAACTGAACTCAGCACATTTTGCTAGATTGCAGCATTTGTGAGAACATGGGTTTAGATTTCTTTTACAGTTCTTTTTTTTCTAGTTGTATAGATAAACCAATGGATCAGAGAATTATATAATTTGTATGAACAAGTAGTCAACTGTATATCAATTGTTGTTTCATCAAAGCTTAGCAAACACATTTTATTTACTCCTTAAAATACTTTGTCACTTTTTTGCTACAACAATATTGTTTACAGTGTAAGGAAAACAGTAATGTTTCATTCATTCATTCATTCATTCATTCATTCATTCATTCATTCATTCATTCATTCAATCAGTCAGTCAGTCAATTTATATAGCTGCCCACTCAACATGCAACTCAGGGAGGTGTATGTAGTTAAAAACAACAAAAAAACAACAAAGAAATGATCTTCCAAAGAATAAAATATAATAAAATCCATTGTGTTAGAAGTAGCTCAAACAATTCAAAATAACTAATCAAGATAGGCTCACGAAATCTCCTGACCCAATGCCTGGTGGAGAAACCAGGTCATCAGAGCCTTTCAGAAGGCAGGCAGGATTGGGGCCATCTGGATTTTGGGAAGAATGCTATTCCATGGGCAGGCATAGGAACAGAAAGGCACATTTCCTGGGACCCACCAGATGACCCTGCTTAAGTGAGGGAACCTGGAGCATGCCCAACCTGGAGCATGACATCAGACAGGCAGAGGTAATTGGAGGCAGGCAACCCTGCAAATAACCAGCCCAATTCTACTTCTACCAAGCTAGATGAATTCATGCCACCTCTTCTATAGAAGGATAAGTAGATTCTGTTGCAAACTGACAGCAGCAGCCTTAAATTCTAGTCCTAAGCAATTAGAAATTGCAGTGGGAACTGGATAAGGACTGAAACACAAGTAATATGCTTCAAATTACCCCACAGATATTTATAGTTGAAACTAAACGTCAGACATACATTGAATTGCATCTAATTGTTATATAGCATTACGCCAACTTCTTTATGTTCTATATTTTCATCCTGATTTGCAAAAATCATTCATTAAGCATATATGTGGGCATATAGTATCCAGCTGTTCCATTTTAAAAAATCCTCTGAGATGTTCCAGCAGCTTTCCAGTGCAGACATGGGCATGCACAAGGGAGACTAAATGATAAAATGGGTATGATAGTATCGTCACACAAATACCTTAATTATCTACTTTTATGTAAATACTTAAGGGCAACATTTGCCTGATGACATCATTGTGCATCCATCATCATCTGGACACCATTGCAATTTGCTGCAGATGTGGGTTAAAAACTACCTTTTTTTTCTTTTTAATCACAATAAAAAAACAAAACAGTACTCAACCAGATACAGTAATCCACATTATAAGGAAAAACCCTATATGACCTGGATGAATGAAAACCACTTTTTCTTAGTGTCCAAAGGAACGAGCTCAGTGTCAGTTGTACTTCTTTGAGGAGGAAGTTCCAAAGCCAGAATGACTTATTTAATAGTGTTTATATTTCAATAGCTACTTCATGACCTATGCAGAGTTGTTTACTGCAGGTTGGTACCATTTCACACCATAGGTAGGTAGTGTTGCTATGCTCCTAAAAATATTTCCAATATACATATGCAAGAAGAATGGTTAGATTAGAAGTAACCAGTAAACTACTGAGACTAGGGGAAATTGTGTATATTCTTATGTAATAGTATTTTTTTTTAATATTGAATGGTGTGAGCTTTAAGATGGATAAAAGAATATACTTTTTATGCAATACTAGTTAAATGCTAGAATTTGTTGAAACAAGATGTGATGATAATGTACAAAATATTAACTTTCTGGTTCAGGACTAGTGTGTGTAATATCTGCATCCCATGATATTGTTTAGAATAAATGTTATTACTCTTGTGGATGAATGTGCAGAAATACTTCCTTTTATATTTGTGAGATTTATTTAACATATTTTATCATCCTCTAGGAAGATTTATGAAATACATTGTTGTATAAATCTTCCTAGATTATATTATATTATCTGACACATGTTGATAATAGCAAAACACACGCTGAGCCAAATATTTATGTAACCAGGTTTAAAAAGTTAAAAGCAAGTACAAAATTAGAGAAAAACCCAGGACATCAGTCAGGGAAGGACAGAAATAATCAATTTGTTTAGTCGTTAAGTCGTGTCCGACTCTCCGTGACCCCATGAACCATACTGCGCCAG